AGGGAACAGAAGCAGCGGGAGTGGGGGAGGGAGAAGCAGCAGGCTTCCCGCAGAGCGGGGAGCCCGATGCGGGGCTCGATCCCAGGACCTTGGGATCATGACCTGAGCTGAAGGCAGACGCTTAACGACTGAGCCACCCAGGTGCCCCTCATATTAGATTTTTGAGTTGTTTGTTGAATATATGATTTTGCTTGGTTTTCCAAAATTTTTATATTCTCTTAAATCAAGCTTCCAGAGTTTTTCTCCTCAGGGTAACATAGATGTGACTTTTAAAAAATAATGAAGAAATAACATTATATGGTGACAAATGGTGACGACACATCGTGGTGAGCACTGAGTAATGTATAGAATTGTTGAATCACTATGTTATACACCTGAAGCTAATATTGTATGTCAACTATATTCAATAATAAAAATTAAAAAATAATGAAGAAAGTATTTGCTTGGTAGAAATTCACTTCATAAGGAAAATTTGGGGGGACATCACCTTTTATATATTTTTTTCACCTTTTATATTAAAGGAGGAATTCTTGTACCTTAGAGAAAAAGTGTTGATTTAATTTTAAAACTCCCCTGAACTCCATAAATATAAACTTTATATATCTATCCCTGTGGGTCTAGCAAAATGCTTGGCACACATTACTCAATAAATGTTTTTTGAGTTATATTGATCTGGTCTAAACAGGAATTGAACCTGAAATTCTCTTCTCACCACCTGCACAGATACACACACACACACACACACACACACACACACACACACACACACACAGCCATCTAAACAACTGAGGAACTGTTAGGATCAGGTTCATGCATCTGTTAGCATTAGGTTCAAATGTCAATAATAGAGACATCCAATGTCAAATGTCAATAATAGAGACATCCAAAATAATAGTGACTAAAGAAGGTAGAAGTTTGTTTCTCACATAAAGTAAGTCTAGGAGCGCTTGGTGGCTCTGATTTCAGCTCAGGTCATGATCTCAGGGTCTTGAGATCGAGCCCCGTGTAGGGCTCAGTGCTCAGTGGTGAGTCTGTTTGAGATCCTCTCCCTCTCTCTCTCTCTCAAATAAATAAATAAATCTTAAAAAAAAAAAGTGAGTCTAGACATAGTAATCTAGGGCTGCTATGGTGACTCCATGAAATCCTTCAGGACCTCAACTCCTTCCAGTTCTTTGCTTCGCCACCTCTGTAAAGTGGCCCTTCTCTTCATGGACTGACATGGTGATTAGAGTGCCAGCCATTACGTTTCTTTTTCAATAGTAGAAACAAACCATAGTAAAAAGGCCAGAAAGCACAAACTATCATGTTCTTCTTCTTTCTTATACCTTTGTTCTTTCTCAATGTCCTTTTCAAAATGGAGGAGACAATCCTCCTCTTCTCCAAATTGCATTGTATTATCTGGCATAGGATCTTTATTTTCCTTTCCATGTAAATTCAGTGTGCTCCTTTTTAAACATTAATTTGATACCTTTTTCTCTGGTGCCACTTCCCCAGCTCTGGTCTGTACACATATCTCAAGTGGTTCCTGTCCACTGTCTGGTTGATGGGCCCTTGTATTTAGTTAGATCTTAGAGACAACGATCTAGTGTATGTCTTGACCCAAAGTAAGTTTTTTGTTGTTTACTGTTAGCTAAACTTCTAAGGAGATTTTCTAAGGAAATTGGGTGAATTTTGAAGCTTATTTTAAATTTTATTTAATTCAGAGAAATAATTTATTTGCAAGTTTTGAAAAGCAAGAATCTTTAAAGAGAAATAAGAAATATACTTTGCCAATAGGGATAAAACATTTAGCAATCACTTTAAATTCAGAATCCTTTCAGATCTGCTTTTGCTTAGTACTTTTATTCTTAAGCTGTCATTTTGAATGAAGGAAAATAGACATGGGTTATGATCCACTGATCTTCCATTTCACAACTAGATGTCAGTGTTAACATACCTGATTAGGTATCTCAGGTATGATCATAATGAGCTCATTCAAGTAATTACTCACCTATCTGAGATACAAATCAGAAAATAAATGATAAAGAAGAAAAAGAAGGAAAAAAATAAGCTACTTTCCTTATTTCAAAATGGGTTGGTTAATTTTATATTTACATTTTTAAAAATTGAATTTTTCCCCACCTTAATAACTATGCACAATTAAACCTTCTGATTTATTTGGTTAGGAAAGGCAGATAAGAGTGTAAACTTGTACCCTTTCACTACTACCAACCAGAAGTTCTTCCCTTCAACTTTTCCAGAAAGAGTGATCAGAAAAAGAAGGAAAATTATTGCTATTCAAATGTGGTATGTGTGTGTGTGTTTGATTCTTGCCTACTTCAATAAGAGACATACATGAGAGCAGGAATTATGCATGTATTGCTGGTGACATTTCTTGCATCTCCCTAGAAGGTCTCTCTTGGTATAACTAACTCTGCCTTTTTAAATTCAGTCCTCATGTAAACAGGAGTATGATACCCCTTGTCTTTTCCTTGTAGATCCAATCTGACAATCTTTTAACATCATTTATATGCATTTCTCTAACTAGAGTGTTGTACCTTTTATACCCACGCTTCCTGTTGATAAATATGCAATGAGAGTAATAACTGAAATATCATGAATAACATCCAGGGAGAGCAGTAGATCATAGTGCTGAAAACACATCCCTACCCTCCCTGCTACTAAAAGATCCTGATGGATTCCCTCTCCCCTGCAAGAATTACCTCTCTTGCATGATTTAAGTAATAGAGCTCACTTATGCAAAATTCTATTGAGTTGGTATTTTTCGTTAAACATTTTCAAAATATGTGTACATGGCTTGACAAAGAGTTTTGGAGGCTGTAGATTTGAAGTATACAGTAGAAAATATCAAGACAACTTGTCTTTGGATCTCAATTTCAGATTTCGACAGAATTGACAGGTTTGCTTATTTACTTATTTATTCATTTTATTTAAATTTTCGTCAGTTAACATACAGTACAATATTGGTTTCTGGAGTAGAATTCAGTGACTCATCACTTACATACAACCAGATTCGCTTTTTTAAAATGGTCATTTATAAATCTAACTTTTTCCTTAGAAACACATCCGTACACCAGAACAATTCTGTTTTGAAAAGGCAAGTTGAATTATTGTAATATCTTAGTACATTCATTTCTCATCACAGAAATAACTTTTTAGGCCATGCACTGGATCCTAATTTAATAACACTCTAAAATAATGCAATAAACAACAGTGCTTTTGCTTACTGACTTTTAAAATCTGTTGTTTTCTGAGAAAGAATTCTTGGTTCATCGGTTCTTGGATAGCCACATAAAACATTTACTTGGCAGTTGCTTTATGTAAGTATTTATGTCTTTCAGGCACAAAATACAAGAACATAAAAATAATTGTTGATTGTGGTACAGATTCGGCACATCACTGTGTATTGTCAGTCAGCCTGAAAAAAGAGAAAAGTCATATTAACCAACTGCAGGCAGTCCCAGATTGCTGCATATATAGTGGAAATGCAAGCAGGCTTCATCATGCTAATGACAAGATATCTTATTTAACAAAACAGTAAAATAATTCAATGAAGTTTATGTAATTCTGAGCTCTCATACAATGCTTAGTAGTAACTTAGTTCTTGATTTGAATTATAACAGGTTTGATATTTTGCAAAATAATCCTTATGTACTAATTTTTTTATTTGTTTAAAAGCCTTCTTGATTTATGTTTCAAGATTTCTCTGATACCTTTGACAAAGGTATTATTTATAACTTTATACTAAGGCAAATAACTAGTTGTTGATTCTAAACTCAATTGGAGGCAGCTATCTATGATATTACTAACTGGACCTCAGAGTTTCCAGTGACCTGCATACAAGGCAGCAGGGTACCTAGGAGATAACTGGTTCTGGCTGAGTGTCTTGAGCCTAGTAGACATTCAGCAAATATTTACTTAGAGATATTTATGCCCTTGTTTTGTCTTGGACATCATCTCTTTTAGGCCTCAGTGTATGGTTGTGATTATTTTCTGAGTGTGTGTGTTTACCCCATCTTCTGAGATCTGAGTTTTAGTTCTGGTGCCTGCTACATGAGCCCTAGCTCCTTATATCTAAATTCTTTTTTTTTTCTTTAAGACTTTATTTATTTACTTGACAGAGAGAGAGAGAGAGAAAGAGAGAGCACAGGCAGGGGGAGAGGCAGGCGGAGGGAGAAGCAGGTTACCTGCTGAACAGAGAGCCCAATGTGGGAACTCGATCCCAGGACCCTGGGATCATGACCTGAGCTGAAGGCAGACGCTTAATGACTGAGCCACCCAGGTGCCCCCAAAATTATTTTTTTTTTAGCAGCAAGAGAGAAGGGCAGTGAGGGCATGCTCTTGAAATTATTTCCCTTACTCCTTTCTGTGCTGGTCTGTTAAGATTTTTAATTTTTAGTCTATGTAGTTTTTATATTTGGACACCAATTAATTGTTCATTTCAGTTAAAAACTTACCTAAACCTTAAACAAGTGAATTTTGTGGTATGTGAATTATATCTCAATAAAACTGTTGTTAAAAACCTTCCAAAATTTATGTGAAAGCATTTTTAGTGATATTGGGAAGCAGCTTTGTATTAATGTTAGAAGGTGAGGAGCAAATGGTAGTTTATTTATGTAGAGTTCCAAGTGATATGGTTTTTAAAAAGATACTTCCCTTTTCTATTTTTGGTTTGTTTTAACTTAGGAAACTTTCTGTTTAACTCATAAGTGTACATCTTAATGGAGTGAGGAAGACAAATATAAGAGATAATGACTAAAACATTTAAATCTTATTTTTAGCATCAGAATGCTATTTAGAGAGATGAACCAGAAATATGCAGATATTCCATTTCATGCCTAACTCCCTCGCCTGGTTGTCCATTGGAAATCTGAGATCTAGCTAGATAATTGAGGAAGTGAGGAAGTGTACTACAAAATTCTGGATTTTGACTTTTCTGTAAAGTGATCAAGTTGATATTAAGGACTTCACATTTTAAGGTATTCCACTTATCATTACAGAAAGCTGTATACCTGCACGAGTGGTGGCTGCCATTGATGTGAACACTGTCGCTAATGAAGTATACAAGTATAATTTTCCTCACACACAGTTACTGGCCAAGACAATTGAAGTGAGTAATGTTGCTTATTGTTTTAATAAGTATATGGCAAGGAAAGTGTGATTGAAAAACACTGTAAGATACTGATTTGTGTTGTCTTCATTGGAGGATAAATCATATATAAATGAGAAAGTTTAGAAGGGAATCAACATTTTATAATCTATAAGAAGATGACATGCTCTTTTTGGCCCTTATTTATTTTTAATTTTCAGTTTGAGAGAATGAGAATGAGAGAGGTCAGTATTTTGGTCTCCGAGACAAAGGACTAAAATGTAAAAATATGCTTGACTTCTAAATGCATGGTTCTGTAATAATATTAAACTTTGTTTAATTCTTTACTTTCAAGCAATAGTCATGCACAATACATATATATAACAGGAGTAAAAACAAGAGAGGCAGTCACTGACTATTACTTATTGAATGCTTCTTATTTTAGCAAGCCTGTCAAAATTACAGGTTAAAAGTACATTGATGAACTCTGCAGAAGTATTTAACACTGATGTACATTGTTATTTTTTAAATAATATGAAATTGTGTTTTTCTCCATTTTCTTGTGAAAAATTTTACAGCAAATTTCTCATGAAACTATAATTTATATACAGTAAACTGCACTCATTTGTGTGTAGTTTGAGTTTTGACTACAAGTGTGTAACCACCACAGTCAAGACTTAGAACATCTATCCCCTCTGGTGTTCCTTAGTGTCCCATGCCCAGGCAACGACTGATCTGCTTTCTGTCATTACAGATTAAATTTTCCATTTCCAGTATATCACAAATAAAATCATGAATGTAACTTGCTCATTTTGCATAATGTTTTTTGAATTCATGCATGTCGTTGTGCATATCAGTAGTCTGTTCTTTGTTATTATTGCTGAGTAATGTTCTATACAGTGAAATATTATGTACTATAATGTATATATCCAGTCACATGATGTTAGACATTTAGGTTATTTCCAGTTTTTGACTATACAAAAATGTTGCTGTGAACATTCATGTACAGGTTTTTGTGTGGACCTTTGTTTTCATTTCTTGTAGATGAATACCTAGAATTGGAATTGCTGGGTCATATAGTAGGTTTCTTTAATTTTATGAGAAAATCCTGTTTTCCAGAGTGTTTGTACCATTTCACATTTGCATAATCAATGTTTAAATGTTTCAGTTGTTTCACATCCTTACCAGCACTTGATATTGTTAATTTCTTAAATTTTAGCCATTCTAGTGAGCCTGTCATGCTGTTGTGATTCTTTTGTGTGTGATGATTCTAATTTGCATTTTCCTGATGGCTAAAAATGTGCATTTCTGTGTCTTCTTCTGTAATGAAATTTTTTGCCCAATTTTTATTATTTGGTGTACTTGTAATATCATCATTTCATTGTAAGACTTGTTTAAGTTTTCTGGATTCAAGTTATCTCTCAGAAATGTATATAACAAATATTTTCTCCAGTTCAGTAATTTGTCTTTTCATTTCCTTAACTGTGTTCATCAAAATGCAGAAGTTATTTATCTTTCTTTGTTTTTTGATCACATTTCTGTGTGTTCCAAAAAAATTTTTGTTTACCCCATTTTCCCCCCCTTCTAGAATTTTATAGTTTTGGCTTTTCCATTTAGGTTGATGACCCATTTGAAGTTACTTTTTGGTGTAGTTTGAAGTAGCAGTCATTTATTTTTTTTTCTAAGTGCATAGAGCATTGTCCTGGCACCATTTTCTTTCTTTCTTTCTTGTTTTTCTTTTACCATTTTCTGAAATGACTATCCTTTCCTCAATTTCCTTGACAACTTTATAAAAAAAAATAGGTCATAAATGTGTGTCTATTTCTGGACCCTCTCTTCAGTAGTATCTGAATGTTTTCCCTTAGACCAGTAGCACACTCTTTTGATTATTATAGCTTTATAATACGTATTGAATTCGGATAGCATAAGTTCTCAAATTGCTGTTGTTTTTTCTTTCAAGATTATTTTGGCTACACTGTCATTTACATGTCTGTGTAAATTTCAGAATAACCTTGCCAATTTCTACAAAAAGATATTTTGATTGGAATTCTGATTGGTTTTAAAAGAATTGGTATCTTAATAAAATTGAGTCTTTTCAGGCCATGAACATGGTATCTCTCTTCATTTATTTAGGTAGTCTTTAATTTATATGAGTAATATTTTGTAATATTTGTTGTACAAATCTTGCACATATATTAATTAATTTTTCCCTAAATATTTGTGGGTTTTGATGCTATTGTGAGTGGTATTTTTAAAATACTACTATTTCCTATTGCTAGCATATAGGAATACACTTATTTTTGTTTATCCACCTTGACCTTCTATTTTGTGACTTTGTTATATTGACTTATTCTGATAGCTTTGATTTTTTTAGGATTTTTTTCTACATACACAATCATATTGTCTGAGAATAAAGAGTTTTACTTTTCCCTTCCAATCAGTGTGACTTTTTTTCTTGTCTTATTGCATTGTCTAAGACCTTCTATACAGTGTCGATTAAATAGGATTACACTGGATATTCTTGCCTTCTTCCACTTCTTAGAGGCAGAACATTCGGTCATTTACCATTTGGGATGATGTTAGTTGTAGATTTTTTATAGATATATTTTATCAAGTTGAGGACATTTCCTTTAATTACATTTTCTGAGAATTTTTATAATGAATGGGTTTTGAATTTCATCAAATGCTATCTTTCTTGCATCTTTTGACATGATTATGTCATTCCCCGTTTATTCTTTTAATATGGTGATTATATCAATTTCTGTTTTTGAATGTTAAGTCAATATTGCATTCCCAGGATAAATCCTACTTGGTAATGATCTATTACCTATTTTATGTAATGCTGGTTTCAATTTGCTAATATTTTGTTAAGTATTTTACATTTAGCTTCATAGGTGATTTGTTATTTCTCCTCAGTGTTTTAGTATGGTTTCAGTATTAGGGTTATATTAACCTTACATTTTTTGGAAGAGTTTGAAAAACAAGTATTAGTTCCTCTATAAATGTTTGATAGAATTTAGTTAATGAGGCTATCTGGGCCTGAAGTTTTCTTTGTGGGAAGGTTTTAAACTATGAATTTAATTTATTTAATTGCTAAAAGACTAGTGAAGCTTCCTATTTATTTTTTATTTAGTTTTAGAAATTTGTGATCTTTGAAGAAATCCATTTTATCTAATTTGTCAAATGTATTTGCTTGATTTTTTCATATTTCCTTATATCCATTTTCTATATGTGAACTCTGTAGATGTACCATAGGTCATTCCTGATGTTAGTAATTTGTAAAATGCTAGTGAAGCTGGAAGCTTACCAATTTTATTGGTCTTTTCAAGTAAATAGCTTTGGATGCAATTGATACTATCTATTGTCCATTTGTTTACTATTTCACTAATTTCTGCTCATCTTTATTATTTCTTTCTACTTTGCATTTAATTTATGTTTTTTAATACTTTTTGCAGTGGGACTTTAGATGAGTTACTTGATATTGTTTCCCTTTTCTTTATATAAACATTTAATGCTGTAGATTTTCCTAAGTTTTGGCTACATTCCACAAATTTTCATATGTTGTGTTGATTTCATATAGTTTGAAATATTTTCCAATTTCCCTTCTGATTTCTTCTTTGGCCCATGTGTTATTTATAAGTATGGGTTTCAATTTCCAAATACTCATAATATTTTCCAGATATCTTTCTGTTACTGATTTCTCATTTCTGTTTTATTTTGGTCATACTGTGTATAATTTCAGTTATTTTAAATTGTTGAGACTTGTGTTATGGCCCATAATTCAGTTTGTCTAGTGAATGTTCTATATGGTATTGAAAAGAATATATTCTTTTTTTATGGGGTGGAATGCTCTGTAAATGTCAGTCGGGTCAAGTTGGTTGATAATGTTGTTCAATTTTTCTGTATCCTTACTGATTTTTTCTATCAGTTGCTGAGAGAAGGGTGCTGTAATTTCCAACCATAGTCGTGAATGTGTCTTCCTTCAGTGTTGTCAGTTTTTGCTCCATTTTATCTTAAAGTTCTGTTATTAAATGTTTACACTTTATAATGTTTTTGATTGAATGACCCCTTTATCATTATAATGTCCCTTTTTTCCCCAGATTTTATTTAAATTCTAGTTAGTTAACATACAGAATAATACTGGTTTCAGGAGTAGAATTCAATGGTTCATCACAACACCCCATGCTCATCATAACAAGTGCCCACCTTAATACACATCACCCCTCTAGCCCATTTCCTGCCCACCTCCCTCCATCAACCCTAGGTTTGTTCTCTATTGTTAAGAGTCTCTTATGGTTTGTTGTCCTCTCTCTTTTCCCACCTCCCATATGTTCTTCTGTTTTGTTTCTTAAATTCCACATATGAGTGAAATCATGTTATTTGTCTTTCTCTGACTGACTTATTTTGCTTAGTATAATACACTCGTTCTTGTTTCTTAAATTCCACGTATGAGTGAAATCATGTTATTTGTCTTTCTCTGACTTATTTCGCTTAGTATAATACACTCTGGTTCTAGCTACATCGTTGCAAATGGCAACATTTCATTCTTCTCGATGGCTGAGTGATACTCCATTGTGTGTGTGTGTGTGTGTGTGTGTGTGTGTGTGTGAGTGTGTGTGTGATCCTCTTTATCCATTCATCAGTTGATGGGCACTTGGGCTCTTTCCATAGTTTGGCTATTGTTGATAATGCTCCTTAATGTCCCTTTTTAACTCCAGGAAGTATTTCTTGTTCTGAACTCTACTTTTCCTGATATTAATATGGCTACTCTGCTTTCTTATGATTAATGTTTACATGTTTATGTTTTTCCATCCTTTAAATTTTATCCTATTTGTATCTTTGTATTTAAATTAGATTTATAGTAGACAGTGTATAGTTGGGTGTTGCTTTTTTATTCAGGCTGACAGAGTCTACCTTTTAATTGGAGTGTTTTACCATTTACATTTAATCTTGTTATTAATATTTTTGGATTTAATTCTACTCCCTTGTTACTTGTTTTCTATTTTTCCAATCTGTTTTTT